AAGTGGGTTACATTCCAGGCATTCTCTTCCATCTGAAGCAACTCTCCTTCTGGCTTGTCTCCTCCACAACTTCTTCCATCTTGTGCGTGTGTGAGAGTCCTTTGCCAAGCCCACTGGCTATGGAAAAACAATTAACTGGATTTAATGTGTTGCCCCCCCCCCCTCCTTCCACTTCCCTCCTATTCTTTCTTTTGTGTGCCTCCGAGAGGTTGGGAATTCATCTTGTTTGGTTACTCCATGCCCAGTCCGAGCTGGCTTTTCTAGTTAGACAGAGCCAGGTTTCATGGCAGCTTTAAGATCTCCAGTCAAGTGAGGTTTTTTAGAAGGGTCTGCCATAAGTGATGCTTAAATAGCTAGTGTGTTTATCCCTTTGCGAAACAATTTGGACACATACATTTCGATTATACTTAAAATATGCACATCTCTTGACTTCTAACCCTTTTTATTATCGTAATTCATCAGTGTAAGCTCAATGCTGCTAAGGCTTTAAAGAACACAATGAAACCAGTTGCCTAGAGCCCTGACCACTTTTTCCATTCTTGCTGGAAACTTTCCAGTGCTATTATATGAAACCTCAGGCCCAGCAATCAAGAAACCCATTTGGCCGCCATAAAGTATCATCCATTATCCAAAAGTTCTGTTTCACTCATCAGAAATGGTAAACACTCTAAACATATTTGCTCTATCTGGTAGATGAGTGACTGGATGTCAATTGAAATCAATCTATGTGACCTAACTACTGTTGTGTAGCCAAATAAAATACTACACCTAATCTGTGAGCAGTGAGAGCTCCAGCTCTTATTTTGGACTGAGGAGAAACAGAAACGCTTGTTTATTCATGTTGACTTTTTGGCGGACATATTTCAGAATGATAACATTATTATGGCTTTCATTTTTAGAAGTCGGGCCTGGAAGACATCACTGCAGTGTTTGGCTGCTGCCCACAGAATGTGTGCATGTTTGAATGGTATTAGTCCAAATCAACTAGTGAGGTTAGTAGACAGCCAATGCAGCTTCATAAACACCCTATCAAATGTGTTTATTTTTATTTGTAGCAATGCAGCACATCATTACTTTCAAATACAGCCTGCTGCACTGTGTATCAATGAAAGGCATTCACAGAAGAGGGCAGTGGAAGGCACTCATGTTGTCCCTTTGACAAAACTACAAACTATTTCCAATGTTTTTTTCAATGTTAAAAAACACTTCATTTAATCTTTAACAATCATATTGCAGAATTCCTGATAACATAGGAAGTCTTTGCTTTCTCCATTCCTAACTATCCTAACTACTGGATTATCACTGCTGTCTGAACTTCACATGTGTTCAAGTAAATGGCACTTCTAACCAGAACAGCAGAGAGACAAAGTGGGCTTGTAAACAAAGTGAAGACTGACTACATGTTAAGAGTGAGGTGATCAAATGTCAGAACATCTAATAATGTAGCTTCAGTGATAGTACACCTTCACTTAAATACAAGGTTATTGTTTTTAGTTTAGTTAACAGAATATAGAAACCGAAAAAGGACATCGAATTAATAATAACAATAATATAAATACATTAGTACTTTTTTTAAATTTCATACTTGGGTTGAAATAAGAAATGAAGCTTCATGAAAATAAAATGTCCCTAATACGTTAAAGGTTTTACAATATAACATCAACTGTATCTTATTCAACATGAGTGTTCAAATATTATATATAATGTGTCCTATTGCAGAAACTGAGTATTGGACTCTACACGGGTACAAATTACTCGAACACATACATTATTTTTAAATGATGTTTGAATTACGTGAACATCTATATTTTTCTGACCTAGCTCTGCCTCTGGTCAATGTGCATGCCCACGCCCACTCTCTCTTCCTCTCTACTCGCGCCTCTCCCTCTTCACTCAGCGCGCGGACGCCTCCATGGAGGGCTCGTGCAGCAGTCCTCTGCCTCACTACTTCCACGGCCACATTTCAACATGACTTAAGAAGCAACGCCTGGCTCTTCAGCATCCCAGCGGTACCAATTTACAACTTCTATGTTTAAACATTCCCCCCTGCTCCTCTGAAACCACTCCCCGGTACTTTCCTCCTTATTTCCCGGGAGATAAAGCAGTTCCGTGGGAATAAGAGGCTCGTTTACTTCGGGGACCCGCATGGATGTGGCAGCGGCAGAGGGGATTTTCTGCCGGGTATCCGACTGCGGAACCGGCCGAAGCAAGTGATGCCGAACCAGCAGAAGGTGAAGGCGAGACGGAAAAGACGAAAGGAGTTGGTGTTAATCCAAATCTGCTTGTTCGGGGGCTTGATACTGGTCGTGAAGGGGTTTTCCTTCTTAGCGGAAAATTCAGGTGAGGATTTAGATGTTTGTTTACTGGGATGCCACTGGGAAGGGGAGCTGAATGTAGTACCTGGTAGTATGGGGCCATTCTACCGAATTTGTTCAAAGTCAGGTTGGAACAGTTTTTTCCCCAAAACGTTGTCCATATATATTTTGTACCATATCTAAATTACACATAGTAAAAGAACCGTACATTTGATATCGTATTTTCAGACTGCATTGGAATGTTCTTCCTCTACTGAAAATGATCACTACCGAAACATAGTACATACACTGTAGTAAAAAAGCATTATATCATCTCTAAATAGTATTTTAACAAATATTTCTTGAGGGTTTTCACAATTAAATCAATAATAATTGTAATCAAATTTCAAAGTTCAATTTATACAATTCATAAAAATCAAAATGCAAACTTTCTTTGTAAAATGCATAATACTGATCATATTGATTCCAGAGTTGATGATTGTTGAAATTGAACATACATTAAACCAATCAGTATCATATCATTTTAGTTGATAACTCAATATACTTAATTTTTTACAAAACATCCAGTGTTTCGGTAGTGACCACAGTATTTTGTTCTCAAGGTTGTATCATATTCCCTCAACCTTATTGCTTAATCTTAACTCATAACATGCCTTATGTTGAAGTGTGAATGTTTGAAGCTACTGACCCAGAATCAGCACTTTAGTAACAGGCTGAAATAGAGGGGATGAGGCTAGAAGGATCTGTTTGGTATTTTGAGCAAAGCACTTCATAGACATGTGTTTTTATATATCTGAGACCTATATATATGCCTAACAATAGTATAATAAGAACCTTTAAAGTAACACACTGATTTTCAGACTTTAAAACACATTTATTTCAAAATGATGGGATTTACCTGCTTACCATTCCATTTTGTCACTACCGAAACGATCATGTCAATTACCGAAACTGACCATATGTTTCGGTAGTGACTGTTTCGGTAGTGACGATTCTAGCTAAAATTGAGCATAACTAAAGATGCTAGCAAGTACATGGCTAGCATACACGTTTTTGAAGAGGTTTACACACATAAAAACCTAATACTTTGCATAAAACCCGAAAAAGTTTACTTAATTGAAGATAATATGTGTTCGGTAGTGACAATTCTTAAGGTGACACGCCGATTTTCAGATTTTGGAACAGATTTATATCAAAAGTATGGGATATAGCTAGGCCTACTTGCCATTCAGCCATGAGGGACAGGGATGCAGCAGAGTCCTGCATCGGGTAACCCGCAAAAAAGGTGATTCGCGGGTGGTATTTTTTCAAACGCTTTTTTCCGGGTTCGGTTCTGGGTAAAACAAAGAAGATGCGGGTCGGGTCGCGGGTGTTTCATAATAAATATATTAAATAATAATACTTTAGTTTAATGTTTAAATCCTCAGACCTCTCCCCGCGGGACCGCGCATAATCATAACCTCTGCAGCGCATCAATCTGCTGCTGTGCGCGCCACATTCGAAATGGCTGAGGTGAAGCTCTAACAGAGAATACAGCATTTTCAATAACACTTCCTCAAGAGCGAAATCCAACGTCTGGGAGGCTTCTGGTGTCATCCTAGATGGAGGAAATAACCAACATCCCACGCTTTTTGAGACAAATATGCAACTGCGTGTGTTAATAATTGCACGTTTTCACTGCTCATAGGCTATGCGGGTTCGGGTCGGGTTGCGGATCTTGTGCCGACGGGTCCGGTCGGGTTGCTGAACTAATTGGCAATATGCGCGGGTAGCGGGGCGGGTTCGGTATTGCACGTCGCGGGAGCGGGTCTTGAAAATCAGACCCGTGCAGGACTCTGGGATGCAGTGTCACTGCCTTGTCAAAAATGCAGGGGTGTGGCTAAAAACCAGACTCAGCTATTGGACTAAAACCCCTTGTGTTTCGGTATGGTGACATAAAAACTGGGGACATGATTTTTTGAGTAGGCTATAGTTTGTTTATTAAAAAATTAAACCCACAATAAATCTAATTAAAACTGCGGTCACAGAAGTGCTGACCGGCTGCCCTCGCGTCCGTGCGCGAGGGCAGCCGGTCGTCCCGGTGTCAAGCAGACGCGCGCGAGTCCTCCGAAATGAGCTGTTTGTCAGTTCTATAATTTTCGCGTCCCAAGAGGCTTCTCAATACTCAAATTTCCCCTCCTCGACTCCCCTCCTCGAAACTTAGACCCGCCCACAGGAGATGCGAGCGGAGGACCGAGGAAGGGAACCGAGGAGAGAGGAGGGGAAGCAGCAGACGTTTAAAGAAATGAGAACTCCTCTCCTCTGAGCGGTCATTTTAAAGAGACGTTCGTTCATTATTACGTGGCAACAGCTGCATCAGCTGTCGAGTGTTTTGTCATAGCACTGTATCTCTGTTAGATCAGCTGAACATTGTTCCCCCACATATTTACTTTGAATTCATTGAGAGTGCGGTATAATGAGACAATAACAGGCTACAGATGCGGACACACAAATATATTTATATAAATATATACAATTTAAAGTATGAGAGCACTCTCATAATAACGTAACACAATCAGAGACTGGATATATCCCCCCCTCTCTCTGGTCGCTGAAATGGGGAATTGAAATTACAGGCCAAAAGTTGTATTTACAAGTAGCCTATTAAAAGTAAGCAGAGGACACCAAACCAACTGAGACCCGTCTGTCCGCCGCATTTACGCACTGTACAACACACACCTACACACTGTACCACACACACCTACAGCTCCTAAAGCATAAGCCGTTATGTATTTTATTATGTGAAGCAATGGTCTTAGAAAAATATCGACTCTTTGTTTGTAGATATCTACTAAACTAAAGCAAATAAAGAGAGTAGGCCTGTTATACTGAGTGATATATATTATACACACTGCTCTGCTTTCTGCATGGACCTTACAGCTGTTCTCTCTGGAAACATCGCGACGCGATGAAAGCAGTTTCTAAAATAATATCCAGGGGATGCATGCAGAGCTGTCATTGGTCATAAGTCTGGCCGTGCGTCACGCCTCCACCGTTCCCGGAAATGCATCCGTGGAGGAGCCGTGGAGGAACCATCAGTGTATCCTCGGTTAGAGCTCCTCCAGGGAGCCTCCTCGACGCTCGATGCTCGGTCCTCGGTGTGCATTTAGAGAAATGAGATGTCCTTCAAATGGCGCGCTGAAATTCATTTCCGGGTCACTACCGGAGGACCGAGGAGGGGAAATTTGAGTATTGAGAAGCCTCTCCAGACTCCCAGGTCCTCCGGCAGCGACCCGGAAACGGATGTCGGCGCGCCACCTGGAAGGAAAACAAATTTCTGTAAAGGCTCGTCGAGGATCGATTATCGAGGAGGCTGTCTGGAGGAGCCGTAACTGAGGATACACTGATTTAGAGGAGAGAGGAGTCTCTCTGGAGGAGCTATAATCGAGGGTACAAAGATGTATTCTCCAGAGTCGATTTCAGCCAACAGTGATGTTTTAAAAGAGGCGTGACGCATGGCTGGACTTATGTCAACGAAGCACAGCTCTGCACAGCTCTGTTTGTTTTACTGTGTGTGTGTGTGTGTGTGTGTGTGTGTGTGTGTGTGTGTGTGTGTGTGTGTGTGTTGTGTGTGTGTGTGTGTGTGTGTGGTGTGTGTGTGTGTGTGTGTGTGTGTGTGTGTGTGTGTGGTGTGTGTGTGTGTGTGGGTGTGTGTGTGTGGTGTGTGTGTGTGTGTGTGGTGTGTGTGTGTGTGTGGTGTGTGTGTGTGTGTGTGTGTGTGTGTGTGTGTGTGTGTGGGTGTGTGTGTGTGTGTGTGTGTGTGTGTGTGTGTGTGTGTGTGCTGTGTGTGTGTGTGTGTGTGGTCAGGCAGCCCGGGCAGGTGTCCAGTAGGTTCTCTGACATCTACATGGTCAATAACTTGTACATTCTCCGTTAGCCTACGAGCTCCCCGTTCGAGCGAAGGACTATTCCTTCTCAATGTAGCATGACATTGGATATGCTCCTTAACTTGTCCTGGATTGGAATTTTTCCGAACATTTCCCTATGGGAGTTTTGCAAAAATGTGCCTTAAAATGCATGAAAAACGCACATATTTGAAAATTGCCGAGTTTTTTGGGGGGAGCGGGGCTAATGGAAGGCAATTTGAAATATGTCCAGATTCGTAAGAGCAAATGTGTATACAGCGTTTCGTGAATATTGGAAAACGTATGGGAAGTAGTGTGGAGTAATATGCCACATGTAAATCGTCAAATTGTGTATTCGCTGTTGGCTTACGTCCTCCACGATTGAGCTATCAGAAATTGGCTTCACAATTTAGCATCATATTGGATAGTGGCTGAACTTGTCACTGGATTGGAATTTTTCCGATCATTCCCCTAGGAGGAGTTTGCAAAAATATGCTTAAAATGCTATGAAAAACGCACATTTTTCAAAATGGCCGACTTTGCTAATGGAAGCTAATTAGAAATATGTTCCGCAATTCCATGAGGAATGTCTGTGCCAACATTCGTGAAGTTCTGAGAAACTATATTGACTACCACACAATAGTAGCTAGTGAGCAGTTTTTTGGAAACACATTTTTTTACATTCTCGAAAAGGTTGTGGGGCTCTGACGTGTGTCCCAAGTTTTGCGTCCGAAGCTCATTTTATGCTATCGCAATTTAAAAAAAATGTATAGGCCATGCCCACATTCTGCATTTGTTGCGACACTTGAAATCTCAGTTCATAGTCACCCCTAGAGTATGTCTAAAAAAAATTAATAATAATTCGTCTATCCGTTCTTGAGGTATACATTTGTTGTGTTTTTGGCGCCACCTATTGTCCAAAATGAACATGCTTTTTTGTGGCAATTCCCAAAGACAGACAGAACCTATCCACCAAAATCTGTGATATTTGGATAGATTGTTGATGAGTTATGAGCATTTCTTTCTAAGCCCCACCTTTTTGCGAGTGCGTTTTGATTCATGGCGGCAATATTTATCGTCTGAACATGCTCATTTTCTACGGTAATGTGCCTGACCCTCCACCAATGCTGTATACTAAGTTTGGTGTTGAAAAACTGAAAATTGAAATTGAAGTTAACATTTCACTGTTTTGAAAATTATGCTGTTACGTTCCCTTGTATATCTAGGGGTACCAAGGGAAGTAGCGACACACAAGATAGCCGGACGAGAGAAAAAGGAGAGGAAACTGAATGCTGACGGAGTTTAAGTGAGGATTTAATTGGTGAATAAGTAAGGCGGCTCACCAGCCAAATTACCAAAACAAACTTGCAATAAACAACACACACTATGCTGGGTCTCATAGAGAGACATGCCGCACACATACTGCCATCCTCCTCCGGTCCTATATGGAAGCTCTGATTGTCGATTAGGAGCACCTGGGGAGAGGCTGCACCTGGGGACAATCAGAGGGAGAGAGAGGAAAACACACACACGACCACACAAACACTACGGCACGTAACACTTCCCCCCATAAAACCAAACAAGTGTTTGGTCACAGTTACCAACAACACCCACCACCCAGTTCACAAACATACTATTGGATGCTTGGAAGCTGCCACCTGCTGCTTCCAAGCATCACACTCCGCCGCCAAATGACCAGGGTCAAGACAAAAGAAACACAATCTCTTAGTGTCGGGACCTGGGAGAGAAACAGACTGAGCACGTGTGACACGTCTGTTACGAGCCCTACAGTGAGGATAACTGCCCTGAGGATACACTACACCCCCGGCTATATCATTACCCATTATGACATCCACACCGTCGACAGGAAATTTGGGGAGCACAGCAACTGGAAAGAAACCAGTAGCCAGTTCAGACTGGACATGGACATTGTGAAGATGTGCGGGCACAGAACCCATTTCAATACCTCTCACCACCATATCCGCCATCACAGGCAAGACTCAGCACTCAGGGGGCAGGGCACCGCGCAAGGATGAATGACTGTGAGCCACCACTGTCTCGCAACACCGTGACCTGCCGCTGGTCCTCCACCTTTCCTGACAGCGAGACAAAGGCAGTAGAGATGAACGGTTTCAAACACTCATCAGGCCCTTTGTTAACAGTGGCCCGTCCACTAGGACACACTGTTGTAACCAAACCCACCCCTTCTGGGTGCTTGCCATCCGCTGTCTGCTTTCTCTTCCAAGCTGCACAGTCTGCTATCATATGACCTGGGTCCAGACAAAAATGACAAGCTCTGTTTATCCTGGGACCTAACAATGGAACACTGGCACAGGGAACGTAATTGTCAGGAGCTCTACGATAAGTGTCCCGCTGAGGAGGATCATGCTGAAAAAAAACACTCTTGTGTATCAGCGCAAACTCGTCTGCCAGAGTGGCAGTCTGCTGAAGGGTAGTCACTTTCTGCTCATTCAGGTAGACTACCGTACACTCCGGTACACAGTTTTTAAACTCCTCTAACATCATCAGCTCACAGACTAAAGTAATGTCATCAGCTTTACACGCTCTACACCACCTGTCAAAGAGGACTCTCTTCTCTCTCACGAAGTCCACGTATGTTTGGCCAGAAGCTTTCTTCATGCCGCGAAAACGCTGCCTGTAGGCCTCAGGCACAAGCTCATATGCCCTGAGAATAGCACCTTTCACCTTGTCATACTCCAAACTATCCTCGACAGAAAGAGAAGAGCAAGCCGCTTGAGCCTTGCCGACTAGCTTGCACTGTAAAAGAATAGCCCACACGTCTTCTGGCCAGTGCAGGGCAGCAGCAATGCGCTCAAATGCACCAAAATAGACTTCCACCTCTGATTCCCGAAACACAGGGACCAAAGAAATATGCCTGCTCACGTCAAAGGAGGCAGCAGGACCAGAAGGTGTAACTGCAGAATCACCCATCCCAGCTGCTTGGAGTTCTAGCTGACGCATCCGGACAGCAGTGTCTGCCTCCAACTCCAACTTCCTGATCTCCAGCTCCCTCCTGAGCTGAACCTCTCGCTCACGCTCCTCCCTCTCACACTGGAGAATAGCCATACGCACTTTTACCCTGGCATCTAATTTAGACCCCGTAGGTGAGGATCCTGCCGAAACCGAGTCAAACTGAGGTGTGGTGAAAATGTTTGCCTGTTCCGTAGCACTCTGAACCACCGTGCCAGGAGATTCCACTAAAGCAGGCCGCCTCAAAACCCCCTGCTCAACTAGTCCAGTTAGCAAAGTAACCTTGAGTTCACTTTTTACCAGAGCCGAGGAGACAGAAACATGATAATGGTCAGCAACTAACCGTAAATCAACCTTCCTGCACCCGTCTAGCTGACCCACAGTAGGACTGGCCACAAACTGCTCCAACACAAAAACCATCCTTAGCAACGGCTACTTACAAATATTATTATTTATTTATTTACAAACTTCCCCAGATCCTGCCTACCAAACTTTACCTAACTATCTTCTGGAGCGTGCCGGGCTCGAGGCGACTTAAAGGCAAACATCAGCGGCCGAAACCCTGAATCGCCTGCCCCCAACAGGGAATAAATCCCCACCCAGGATTACCCCCGAAAATAAAAAAGGCAAAATAAAAATGAGTGCCTGAAGGAAGGACTGATTCAGTCCAGCTAGACACTCCCCTCTCTAAACTGAGGAAGATGTTCAACAGTAAATAATTTCACAGCCAATTCTACACTTATATACACTACTGCTCACCACCAAACACCATATCAACACTAACCAACAACCAAATACTCACTCTTTGTCTCAAAGATTGGACGAGCCCCCATGTTACGTTCCCTTGTATATCTAGGGGTACCAAGGGAAGTAGCGACACACAAGATAGCCGGACGAGAGAAAAAGGGAGAGGAAACTGAATGCTGACGGAGTTTAAGTGAGGTTTTAATTGGTGAATAAGTAAGGCGGCTCACCAGCCAAATTACCAAAACAAACTTGCAATAAATAACACACACTATGCTGGATCTCATAGAGAGACATGCCGCACACATGCAGCCAGATGAGAAGGAGAGAAAAGGCCTCCCACTGCCATCCTCCTCCGGTCCTATATGGAAGCTCTGATTGTCGATTAGGAGCACCTGGAGAGAGGCTGCACCTGGGGACAATCAGAGGGAGAGAGAGGAAAACACACACACGACCACACAAACACTACGGCACGTAACATATGCTAATACAAAAAAGTAGGCGGAGTTTAGGGTTTCCAAGAGGATTGTTTGTAGAGCAGGTCCACCCGGATATGTGTGCAACATTTCAGGTTCATTCGGAGTTACGGTGCGACTTATGTAATTTTTCCAAAATTATTTACATATAGGTGGCGCTAGCGAGCATGTTGGACAAATTTGAACCCATTGACTCCAGAATGTTGCAATTTTTACCGGTCCTGGCGTCCGTGCAAAATTATACAACTTTTTGAGCGTCCTAAAGCCCTCAAAAAGAGGAAACATGGCGACTGATAATAATAATACCTAGGATAACAATAGGTTCCTCGCACTTCGTGCTAGGACGCCGTTGGGTCCTAGCGCTCCATGCTCAGGCCCTAAATATTCCAACTTCTGTTTGAATGTAATCATAAAGACACCATTGAACAAAAATAAATTAAAATGTTTTAAAGGTGGGGTAGGTAATTTTGGAGAAACCAGCTGGAGTGCGCTAGAATTTGAAAATACACAACCGGAAAAAATCTGCCACTTCCTCACAGAGCCCCTCCTCCATACACACACGAACGCACACATGACCAATGAGGGCACGAGATAAGTTTGTGCACAGATGGAAGGCTGACAGGCAGGTAGGCCATCCAGTTACTTTACCCGGGCCGGCTAAAATGATTGGTTGTACTTTTTACAGCGCTACAGCTTCCACAGATGACATTTTTTAATGGATTTTTTGTCAAAGCACCTCAGATATTCATTGTTATCGGGATGTTAAGAGCATTCCATGGAATATAACAAGTGTATCTCGAGCCGGTTTCTCAAACTTACCTACCCCACCTTTAAGTGTTATTTACAGAAATTGAAATGTAGATGCAGGGTTGGGGACAGCTACTTCCCAATAGAAAGTACCCTATAAATGATGTGTTTGTATATATTAAGCTTATCACTATCTAATGTAATGCCTTATCTTTAAATATATATACGATGGCCGGCAGGTGCAAACGCGGAACAACGGCCCAAAACGCACACATAAGCAGGAAACAGCTGCAAATAATGAAATGAAAAACAAACAAACCCCGAAAACAAACGCAACAGAAAAACGCTGCAAATACAAAAACACATACAAACCCAAAAACACAGTGCTCCAGGCCTCTAGGGGGCGCGCTACGTGGAACAGATGGATGTCTGACCAGACGGACATAGAGAGAACGAACGAGAGTGATGGAAATTGAAGCCGGAGGAAACAAAGTTGATTGAAGTGGACAAAGTCCATATATAAGAAGGTAAGTTTTGTTTTGTTCACATTACATTACATGTCACTTGTTAGTCGCTTTTATCCAAAGCGACTAACATACTCAATACTGTGGACAATCCCCACAGGAGCAATTTGGGGTGAAGTGTCTCAAGGACACAACGACATACTGACTGCAGTGGGGTTTGAACCTGTGACCCCCTGATCCCAACACCAAGGAAGTGATCAAATGTGAAGACATGCTCAAGAACAAATATAGAGAAGACATTCAAGGAGAGAGACAGACAAAACACAGATTCAACGGTAAACATGATGTATCTTTCTAGTATACATTAAAAATTGTGTATTAGTTGTATCTTTATAGAGAACATTATACATTTAGAATCAGATTTTAAGAGAGTGAGCGGCTGGGAAAGTCACATCGCCATGGGGCACAAACAGTTGCTGACGTGATGTTTTCTTCATTCTCAGGCATTCCATAAGGAGGGTCAGGAACTCACGCTTGGGACCACCAGTGTCCCTCCATCCTCAGTGTGTCCCTCATCATCAGTGAACTTAACTGACATCTCATGAGAGGGGTCGAATGAGGCACCTTTGAAGCCGCGGATTGCTCCATCCCACACATTGGCTCTTAATATTGAACCTGCTGCAAGATGTATTTGTTATTTTTGCAGAGAGTTCTGCAACAATGTCCTCCGCAGTCAGGTGTTCTGTGTGATGTATTGTAATATTAAATGATGAAGCTAGTAATAAGATGTATAGAATAGAACAATTAAGTGGTAATAGTAACAATTAATACCTTTCCTCTGCAGTTTGCTCCATTGTGTCTTCTGGCTCAGACTGGCTATCAATAATGATAAGTGCATACAGATTTGTGTAGTTGCTGCAGTGAGAAGACAGTTGAATAATGACTTTCAAATACATAATATATGCATGACAGTCATATTTACAAAAGGATGTCGATCCTCTTCCTGTTTTTTTTTCAATACATTGGGTTCTAAACTGACAACAGCACTTTTGTCATACTCCTGCACAATCCTTGTAAACATTTGAAATGGATGCAAGAAACAATATCTGATCTTTGAAAAATATTTGTGGGTGGTTTTTGTATCGTCTTCACTAAGATGTTGTGGGTGTCATTTGGAAATGTATAAAAGTATAATTGTTCTGCTTCCTGTCAATGTTACACACTGTGATTGGAGGCTATACAAACAAACACATGTAAAATAAAGATACACACCAAACAACTGTGTCACGATGCAACTGTCAACATCGTTTACCTATAGAAGTGGTTCTGACCCGGGGCAGACTGGACCTCTTCCTGGAATGGGGTTGGTGCTGCATCCTATTTTTACCCAGGAAATAAGTGCACACAAAGGTATTTATTGATTTCATGTTCACAAATTCAAACCTACATGGTATAATTACATGTTTAATTAGTCTTACCCGATCAGACGCTGGTTGTGGGTGCCTGAGAGGTCTGATAAAGGTAAACGACAAATATATTCAAACTACTGTACTGTTAAAACATTCTGCTTCTTGTAGCACAAAATAATATGTTAACAATGTTTTATTTTACCCTGGCAAACTGTTGTCCATTGTGAGTGCTCACTTTTGGAACATTTGGAATGTCCCACACCTGCATACACACAAATGACTGACTGAAATAAAATAAATTCACTTTAATTAAGAATAAATGCCACGATAAATCCAAGCTGACCAAGGTACATTATATTGTTGACCGTCCTTTAACTCTCACATTAGGATTTATATTGGGGCACAATAAACCAACTCCTCTCTGCACCTAATATATCTATATGATGTCAAGAGTTACATTTAGGTGCACAGTGCTGTCTCTTGACTTGCAAGCTCTTTTACCAAACAAGCTAACGCTAGCTGGGTAAATATGATGCTCTTTGTATCAAAACAAAACGTATCTTCTTATATATCGACTTTGTCCACTTCAATAAACTTTGTTTCTCTTCCGGCTTCAATTTGCATCACTCTCGTTCGTTCTCTCTATGTCTGGTCCAGAGGTTGCGCTAGACTTTTTCGCTGCCCGTCATTTTGACGGACAGGATCGTAAAACTTCCGTCAAAAACCCGTCGGCCTTTACACAACTCTGACGAGGGGGGGAGGGGGAGGGACAGTTCAGATGCGCCGTGTTATGCATGGCTGCTGCACCTCGCGGGAGCGTGCACAGCATAAAGCCAAAACTCAGACATTTCAATGATTTGTACGACACAGTTAGGTTTGGAAACGGTATAATTTCCTTTTTGGAGGGCATGCATAACACCAGAGCCTCGCTGCGGGGAAACTTTGGCGCTGTTCCGAGTTTGTTCTAATCAGTCAAAATGACGGACTGCTTTCAGGTTTGTCAGTCATTGTTAAAAAAAATCCGTCATAGACGGAAAATATTCGGTTAACACGACCTCTGGTCTGGTCAGACATCAATCTGTTCCACGTAGCGCGCCCCCTAGAGGCCTGGAGCACTGTGTGTTTTTGGGTTTGTATGTGTTTTTGACTTTGCATATCGTTAATGTATTTGCAGCGTTTTTCTGTTGCCTTTGTTTTCGGGGTTTGTGTGTTGTATTTAGTTTGCATCATTTCTGTGAATGCAGCGTTTTTTTGTTGCATTTGTTTTCAGGATTTGTTTGTTTTTCATTTAATTATTTGCAGCTGTTTCCTGCTTATGTATGCGTTTTTGGCCGTTGTTCCGCGTTTGCACCTGCCGGCCACCGTAAATAGACCATAACATATTCTTAGTAAATATCTATATCTGAATACTTAATTGTTTTGTTAAATTGAGTGAGAAATGGAACGAAACCACGCCAGACTATCCAAAACTGGAATCGAACGCCCCCCCAGAACTACACATGCTGGCTATTGTGTTTCGCAAAATGTTCTATGGGACGTCTCTACTGAACGTTTTCGTTTTTCCCACAATTGAAGCTGCCAGTATTAAACACATTGGTGTTATCAAATGTAAAACATATAATTAATAAATGGGTGAAAATCGCATGTGTCCATAATGCGCAGCATTATTATATACCCACATGACAGCTCATTGTTACTTTGTAATTCTACTCCACTACAATTCAGAGGTTAACCTGGTATTTGTACTCCACTACATTTATTTGAGTTACTTTGCAGATTCTGATTAATTATGTGAAATATAAACAACCCTTAAATCAGACTTTAGTTACACCTGAGTAAAATTCAGGTACGGTGATTGTCAAGTGCCAACAATCAGGAGAGATATTTGATAGTTGGTGCTTGAGAAGACTAAACATGTATCTGCATTGACATGAATGGAAATGAGTAATAAAGTATATTCATTACTCGTTATTCTCTACTAATAATTAATTAAAGACTGTATATTATGGCTATTTTGCACATCCCTTTCAAGATTTTCAAAGGTTTATTGACATATCATATACAACTACGGTGTAGTTATGCAATGAATGAAAAACTTGGGTCGCAGGTTCCTCAACAGTGCATTACAAGACATCTATCAATATGTGTGTACCTCCACCATTAAACTGTCATATTCTGCACATTTCTTATTCTATTTACATAAGAGTATAATTCATATGTATAATATCAGTTAAAATAAGTGCTTCAACATAGTTAACATTGCAGGAAAGCAATATATTAGACGTTAAGTACTTTGTCAGGCTTAATATTTATCTGTAGATAGATACCCCCAACGTTTTTTTCTTATTTAAAAGAAGACCTTAATCTGTTATTTAATGTTTAAATAAAGGTTCATTTGTTTTTCTGTTTTGCACCTCCTCCTATTAATATCTTTGTACATCCTGCACTAAACTGTTTTATTGTAGAGATCACTTATAGTATCTTCTTGATTTTTTATATTCTATATTTCTATATTTATACTTTCCCCCTATGAAAGTATGTACTCTTAATATTTTTTTAATCAAATATATCACATAAAAACAATAATTCAATAACGTGCTTTAACCACTAGGAGTTGCACACAAGGTACACACAGCCACAATAACTTTGTATTATTAGTCGGACACTTAAGTATGTACAACATCTGAAGATGTGTAGTTTTATGCATGCTTTCACATAATTTTACAGCATATTGCTATACTATTTCAGACTCAGTATTTACATTCTTACATTCAAACAAAATCAGTAATATCTTTAAAAACTACAGTCCTTTTATATCAGCTGTGCACCGTTATGGTGTAAATATAACCTATCTGTGAATTAGATCAAATGTAAAAGTCAGCCGAATTAGAGTTGATACTGCAAGGAGACGTATTGTGTGAAGAGCAATTGAAGATGTTGTTTAATTCTTGATATATTTATTATCCACGTCAAGTATTCAGTTTCGGCGCGGCATTTCTTCAGTTTTTCCAAAGGTCTTCTCATCAGGGCTCTATAAATAAAGAACTACGGCAGATCTGTAATATGTAATGCAGCCGAACCGTGTATTACAATGCCGTTATGTGATGACTTTCAAAGAGAAAAGCAGGAGCACTCGGAATTAAGTATTATTTTATTCTTTTAAAATGTTTTCCGGATTTCATATCATATAAACACCAAATCCCAGCATGCATTGCGGCTAAAACACCCAATCAGCGAGTTTAAAACCATAGCTGAGGATCTTGGGTAATCGCTTGAAATGCTACGTCTGTTTCCGGTTATTTTTATTTTGAAATTCAGTTCCTGACGGACGCCAAAAAAGCCAGAGATTATGGAATTAAACCAATAAATAAAAGCAAGGATAATTGTGTGTTATTGGTGAGTAAATAACAGTGTGTTATTTTGAAAAGAATAACAAATTAGAAGGAAAAAAATATTTAAAAATACAGATTTCAGTATCCTGAGGCTCTGAGCCCCATTTATTTTCCTCACAGACAGCAACAAAAGTCCGAAATTATACGATTTAAAATAAAAGCAATAACTGTGGCTTGATATTGAGTAAGAACATGTTTTTATGAACCACACAGCTTCCGGTCTTCCTCGACCCGACCGGAGAAAAAGACGTGCTGCAGCCTGCAGGCACGAAACACATTACCAGTAGAAATACATTGCTTTTAAAATCGTGCTTTGCAACACGAAAAAAAGGGGCAAATCGTGTTGGTGAACACGAATCAATAGATTAAAAATCGTGTTGGTGAACACGAAATGCCGTGAGACTGGGTTGGCCATTTGTGTGTCCCCAAACGCACAGGTTAGACTATAATGCTTCTAAACAGACATTGACATTAGTGTATAGACAGTGAAAACACATTCCATGCTACTTTAAACACCCTACTCCTACTGTCACCACTTACTCTTCATTTCCACTTAGGAACTACACACCCAATGTCAAAACGAACTGTAAGTTGTCATGTATGAAAGTTTGTTTAATAATAGTAAAATCGTACTTTAGTTATGTTCCCATATCCTTCAAAAGTGTGAGTTCCTTGTTATTGAAAGAATAAGAGGTCCATGACTTTATAAAAAAAGACTGCAAAGTCATATTCTGATCAAACTTGTCAGAACCCAATGACCTAAAAAGTCCTCGTGCATGGGCTTCAGAGCATGGAGGTGTCCATACTGTCCTAAAGGTGCACACTTTAACTATGCGGAACTATTTGGTTTGGGGTTGGGTGCAAAGACTGCTGTATGTTCAGGTGTTCCAGCTGCAGAGCGGTGAAATCAGGGCAATGAGCCCCAGGGTATTCCAGACCTACACAGGTTACTGCAAATAGTTGCAAACTAGCAAAAAGCGCCTCTTTCCAACATGATGTCCCTGCTGTTCTGACATGATTAGTATTGCCAAAGCATCCAAGTGCAATCAGATGATACCGTGATAAGTGCAGTCCTTCCTCACAGCGAACATCTGCACCCTTTGACTTCTCATCTCTTTCTCTTTAATCTCTCCTTTATCTCATCTCACTTTGAGTCAGCGTGAGCCAAAGTGAGATGTATTTATCACTTTCTATGGACAGAAGGCCTGCATGAATATTCATACACTCATGATTTGTGCATCATCAGTGGGACTCGATTTCCCCCCCCCCCCCTTCTTTCCTCCTCACTGCGTATCCTGGTTACATGGAAGTGCAACAGTGCTGCTCTCTGCATGTGCCCAACATTAGAGTGGAACGAGGGATGACACTGCAGCGTTTAATGCATTTCCCTGGTCCCCATCGTGTTCTTGTTAACTCTTAATCAGCTTTGCCGGAATATAAATTAAAGTTGATTATTTATGATGCGCTTAATGAAGTTCTGGGTAAATTGAGCTTTGTGTTGCGAAGCACTCAACGCCTCCTCGCAGGGTGCATTAATCATACACTCCTCTTCTTCATGCAAGATAGCAGAAGATGGAAGGGAAGGAGGGAGGGAGAAGTAGAGCGCTGGCACGCAAACCTTCCTGCTGCTGTGTGTGTGGTAGTAAAGGTGAGGCCAGGTGAAAAGTTCAGCCATGCCCTGAGGACCATTGAATAACTGGGCTTTTTCATTCTGTTTCTCTTCTGCCAGACTTGTGGCTGGCAGGGTGAAAAAGGCTGCCGTGCTCCTGCTGGGCTCTCTGAAGTATGAAATGAATTCATTGGTGTTGCTGCTTACTCGAAGAATGTGCAGATGTAGCCACAGTGGGAGCCCCCCACTTTGAGTGCTCCGCCCCCACAAGAGGATTTTGTTTTGGAAACAATCATGAAATTCCCCCTTCAATGTATGAATTTGGAGGGGGTGGAGGGGGGGGGTACACCGAAATGACACATCTGTGGTGCACTCCTGCAGCTGTTCACTTCTATTACATAAAGAATCAAAGTTTAATGTGCCAGAGAAGACAACCGTGTGCATGAAAAATACAACAAACTGCTTGACACACACTTCTCTACCTGCAACACTTGCATATAACTTATACAGAGAAAAAGGTCCAATAGACTGGTTCAGGAATGAGTCTTTAAACAGAGAAATAAGTTAGCCCTGCACCTCTGTAGCTAGTTATACTATTTTAGCTGTTACTAGCATAACAAACCTAGCATTTCACCTCTTCCAGTTTCCTCCTCTTAAAGTCAATGTTTCTTGGAACACGGTTTTGATACCTGAAATAAGGTCTATTAAATACCACATTCGTGAATGTCTGAAGCTTCCATGTGGCATTAAAACGGCGGCTGCTAACATGTGGCCAAATTAGACGGCTAAATGCCAAACATTAGCCACCTTTAGCTTAGCGTTGATGATGGGCATCCCGTTGCTTTGTGAGGAGGGAGCCCTTGCTATGTCAACTTCCGGTTCAGCCTAAAAATAATGTCAACACTGCACCACTCTATTAATGATAGTAAAATGTACTTAGTTATATGTTGCTGTGCTAAAATACACTTTAGCTCAAACAATTGATCAATAACTTGATTGACAGAGAAATGCAATTTGTGATTGATAAATTGTTTATCAAAGAAAAAAAGCCAAACATTCCCCGGTGTCATTATCTCCAATATCTAGGTTTGAAATGTTCAAACTCTTCAACTAAAAAAGAATCATTCATTTACACCCAAAAAAATGATGTGCGTTATAATCTGTGTCTTACCTTGAGAAGGGATCGTGTCCTCATACATTTACTGAAAGTTGGCACCGGATGTAGTTAACGAACAAATGAGCTAATCAAACAGAAAAATGTATTTGCAATCAAATTAATTCAATCCCTTAGTTACATATTCAAACAAAGATGACAAACATTTCTTAGTTTGAGCTTTTCAAGTGTTACAAATATGATTGAAAGAAAACTAAATATGTTTGGGATATGGCCAAAAAAAGACAAAACCCTGACATTTGAAAAGTAGAATTTCTTTTTTGCTGACATTTTATAGACTAACAATTTATTTGAAAAGCTCACATAATGCTTCTGCTTAATACAGGTTTATCCCAAACTCCATTTGAAAAATCAGCATTTCATATTAGGCTCTTTACCGTTTATGATTTTCCATGCTCAGAAGTACACATGGTCCTGTTTGTATGGTTTTATATTTAAATCATGAACAATGCACGACTTGATGTTTTCGTAAAAATGTTTTACTCTTACTATTTACAGTGTAGATTTTTACTGTCATTTTGCAGTGTAATGAGCATTGCGCTTGTACGATTCTTTTTATTGCACCATTACTAGTTCTGATACAACTGGTGTTTTGTATCCATGTGTGTTCAAAGTCTATGAGAAAATCTGTTTTTTAATCAGTGCTCAAATGAAGAATCTTCAAATTTTTTGTGTATTTAAAAACGTCAATCTGAAGGTTTGAGCCGCACTGAAACGTCCTTGAATCTATTTTAGAAGTTGACTTTTCACTGTGGCAAACCTCCTGCAGGTTTCCACGTCTCTAGCCCCAGCAGCGAGGGCCAGGAGAGATGGGGAGGGAGGAGGCTTCTGCAGGAAGTGGAGAACAGCAGCCTGGAGGAAATTGAGAGTGAAGGATCTAAGAACTGCACTGCTCCAGGTAAGACTGAGACGGGATGAAAGAGAGAGGACACACAAGTGCCCCCCCCCCCCCCCCCCCCCCCCCCCCGCCCCCATTCTCTCCCTCAAGAACATAAAAAAGGCAGATGAAAAGCATGTTCTCTCCTTACTTTTCTGTACCCCTTATTCGCTTCCCTAATGTGATGTGAGATGTGATGTGTTTTCCCATGAGCGCAGGCTACAGCAGGCGGAGACATCCAGCTGCCTCAGCGGTTTCACACTCGCTCTCCCTCACTGTTTTTTTTGAGAATCCTGCAGATTTTATTCTCACTTCCTCCACCAAGCTTTACCTTACCATCTCCCCCATTGCTTTCCTCCGTGTTTCCCTCACGTTTTTCCCACATGGTGGCCACATTTCAGAAAAAAAAACTGTTTCCATAGCGACCTTTTTATCTTATCATCAACTTCAGTTTGAGGCACTCAGGATGTGAGGATGCAGCTGAAGGCATTTTTTGAGGTTTGTAAAGTTAACACATTGACACATCTCGGTGACTTTATGAAGTCATATAAAAGATGTCTTCTCATGGATATTTCCTTATTTATGCATGGACTCGCTTATCTGCTGCTATTTTTAGAGTGAAAGGAGATTTCATGTTCTCTCCGGATATAATTAATGTGTACAAGGTAGGTCGCAGCGAGGATGCTGCACTGCACACCACACTGACATTTGTCTCTTGTACCTTGAGCAAGAGACAATCCCCCCCCCTCCTCTTTTCGTGAGCTCATTAAGCAAAATGGGCATCATCAATCTCCTTCCTCACCTTCCCAAGTTGCCACTGTCATCTATAAAGGGAGCCAAGGTCACAGTGCAACTTATTCTCTTATCCTGCTTATTATACAGTCCTCCTCCCGGGCTAAATGTAAAACTCGTACCCTGGTGGCTTCGGCTCATGTCACCCTCTGGAGGACGGCAGGGTTTTTAGCTAAAAAAGCTTCCATTACCGGTGATTTCTGCTCCTGTCCCTAATAGGAGACCCACCAAATGTGCCAGTGTGCAAATGTTAGTGAGTCATTCTTCAGTAAACCGTTTAAAGGGAGGAATCTGCATGTTTTAAAGTGTGATGTATGTATGTATATCAGTATGTAGTGTCTCTACTTTAAAGAGTCCTCTCCTGCTGATGTTCAGCTGTATATCAGTATGTAGTGTCTCTACTTTAAAGAGTCCTCTCCTGCTGATGTTCAGGTGTATATCAGTATGTAGTGTCTCTACTTTAAAGAGTCCTCTCCTGCTGATGTTCAGGTGTATATCAGTATGTAGTCTCTCTACTTTAAAGAGTCCTCTCCTGCTGATGTTCAGGTGTATATCAGTATGTAGTGTCTCTACTTTAAAGAGTCCTCTCCTGCTGATGTTCAGGTGTATATCAGTATGTAGTGTCTCTACTTTAAGAGTCCTCTCCTGCTGATGTTCAGGTGTATATCAGTATGTAGTGTCTCTACTTAAAGAGTCCTCTCCTGCTGATGTTCAGGTGTATATCAGTATGTAGTCTCTCTACTTTAAAGAGTCCTCTCCTGCTGATGTTCAGGTGTATATCAGTATGTAGTGTCTCTACTTTAAAGAGTCCTCTCCTGCTGATGTTCAGGTGTATATCAGTATGTAGTGTCTCTACTTTAAAGAGTCCTCTCCTGCTGATGTTCAGCTGTATATCAGTATGTAGTGTCTCTACTTTAAAGAGTCCTCTCCTGCTGATGTTCAGGTGTATATCAGTATATAGTGTCTCTACTTTAAAGAGTCCTCTCCTGCTGATGTTCAGCTGTATATCAGTATGTAGTGTCTCTACTTTAAAGAGTCCTCTCCTGCTGATGTTCAGGTGTATATCAGTATGTAGTGTCTCTACTTTAAAGAGTCCTCTCCTGCTGATGTTCAGGTGTAATATCAGTATGTAGTCTCTCTACTTTAAAGAGTCCTCTCCTGCTGATGTTCAGGTGTATATCAGTATGTAGTGTCTCTACTTTAAAGAGTCCTCTCCTGCTGATGTTCAGGTGTATATCAGTATGTAGTGTCTCTACTTTAAAGAGTCCTCTCCTGCTGATGTTCAGGTGTATATCAGTATGTAGTGTCTCTACTTTAAAGAGTCCTCTCCTGCTGATGTTCAGGTGTATATCAGTATGTAGTCTCTCTACTTTAAAGAGTCCTCTCCTGCTGATGTTCAGGTGTATATCAGTATGTAGTGTCTCTACTTTAAAGAGTCCTCTCCTGCTGATGTTCAGGTGTATATCAGTATGTAGTGTCTCTACTTTAAAGAGTCCTCTCCTGCTGATGTTCAGGTGTATATCAGTATGTAGTCTCTCTACTTTAAAGAGTCCTCTCCTGCTGATGTTCAGGTGTATATCAGTATGTAGTGTCTCTACTTAAAGAGTCCTCTCCTGCTGATGTTCAGGTGTATATCAGTATGTAGTGTCTCTACTTTAAAGAGTCCTCTCCTGCTGATGTTCAGGTGTATATCAGTATGTAGTGTCTCTACTTTAAAGAGTCCTCTCCTGCTGATGTTCAGGTGTATATCAGTATGTAGTGTCTCTACTTTAAAGAGTCCTCTCCTGCTGATGTTCAGGTGTATATCAGTATGTAGTCTCTCTACTTTAAAGAGTCCTCTCCTGCTGATGTTCAGGTGTATATCAGTATGTAGTGTCTCTACTTTAAAGAGTCCTCTCCTGCTGATGTTCAGGTGTATATCAGTATGTAGTGTCTCTACTTTAAAGAGTCTCTCCTGCTGATGTTCAGGTGTATATCAGTATGTAGTCTCTCTACTTTAAAGAGTCCTCTCACTGCTGATGTTCAGGTGTATATCAGTATGTAGTGTCTCTACTTTAAAGAGTCCTCTCCTGCTGATGTTCAGGTGTATATCAGTATGTAGTGTCTCTACTTTAAAGAGTCCTCTCCTGCTGATGTTCAGGTGTATATCAGTATGTAGTGTCTCTACTTTAAAGAGTCCTCTCCTGCTGATGTTCAGGTGTATATCAGTATGTAGTGTCTCTACTTTAAAGAGTCCCTCTCCTGCTGATGTTCAGGTGTATATCAGTATGTAGTGTCTCTACTTTAAGAGTCCTCCTCCTGCTGTTGTTCAGGTGTATATCAGTATGTAGTGCTCTACTTTAAAGAGTCCTCTCCTGCTGATGTTCAGGTGTATATCAGTATGTAGTGTCTCTACTTTAAAGAGTCCTCTCCTGCTGATGTTCAGGTGTATATCAGTATGTAGTGTCTCTACTTTAAAGAGTCCTCTCCTGCTGATGTTCAGGTGTATATCAGTATGTAGTGTCTCTACTTTAAAGAGTCCTCTCCTGCTGATGTTCAGGTGTATATCAGTATGTAGTGTCTCTACTTTAAAGAGTCCTCTCCTGCTGATGTTCAGGTGTATATCAGTATGTAGTGTCTCTACTTTAAAGAGTCATCTCCTGCTGATGTTCAGGTGTATATCAGTATGTAGTGTCTCTACTTTAAAGAGTCCTCTCCTGCTGATGTTCAGGTGTATATCAGTATGTAGTGTCTCTCCTTTAAAGAGTCCTCTCCTGCTGATGTTCAGGTGTATATCAGTATGTAGTGTCTCTACTTTAAAGAGTCCTCTCCTGCTGATGTTCAGGTGTATATCAGTATGTAGTGTCTCTACTTTAAAGAGTCCTCTCCTGCTGATGTTCAGGTGTATATCAGTATGTAGTGTCTCTACTTTAAAGAGTCCTCTCCTGCTGATGTTCAGGTGTATATCAGTATGTAGTGTCTCTACTTTAAAGAGTCCTCTCCTGCTGATGTTCAGGTGTATATCAGTATGTAGTGTCTCTACTTTAAAGAGTCCTCTCCTGCTGATGTTCAGGTGTATATCAGTATGTAGTGTCTCTACTTTAAAGAGTCCTCTCCTGCTGATGTTCAGGTGTATATCAGTATGTAGTGTCTCTACTTTAAAGAGTCCTCTCCTGCTGATGTTCAGGTGTATATCAGTATGTAGTGTCTCTACTTTAAAGAGTCCTCTCCTGCTGATGTTCAGGTGTTATCAGTATGTAGTGTCTCTACTTTAAAGAGTCCTCTCCTGCTGATGTTCAGGTGTATATCAGTATGTAGTGTCTCTACTTTAAAGAGTCCTCTCCTGCTGATGTTCAGGTGTATATCAGTAGGTAGTGTCTCTACTTTAAAGAGTCCTCTCCTGCTGATGTTCAGGTGTATATCAGTATGTAGTGTCTCTACTTTAAAGAGTCCTCTCCTGCTGATGTTCAGATGTATATCAGTTTGTAGTGTCTCTACTTTAAAGAGTCCTCTCCTGCTGATGTTCAGGTGTATATCAGTATGTAGTGTCTCTACATGTCTCCATGCTTTAATGTTCAAAAAGCTCTTTATTGTTCTCATACTGCCTGTGCTGCAGCACCTCTTTTCACCCTCTGTCTGAAACCAGAGCCCAGTCTGCTCTGATTGGTTAGCTGGCCGGCTCTGTTGTGATTGGTCAACCGCTTAGAGATGTCTGGCCCCCTAGCCTATCATGTACAATGTGTTGGAGCGCTAGCCAATAGGAGTGTGAGTGTTACAAACTGATGGGGGGGGATGTTATCCTTTGCAAACCATTTACATCAGAATCAGAATTCCTTTATTTGAGAAGGATTTAAGTGCAGATAAATTATAGAGATTAGACTTGCATATTAAAAAATAAGAAATTGGTTACAATACAAGGTTTGTTCAAGATTTATTCACAACCAGTTAGCGTTTGTGTGTGTCTCCGCTGAGCAGTACAGCACAAGCCTGATGAGGAGGCAATCCAAAGAGAGCTGTGTGTTCTGGGAGGAAGCGGCGCGGCGGAGGCACTCGCTGATTGTTGCCTGAAATTAAAGGCCAGCTGATCAAGAGCTGGGAAGATGACGGAGAGAGACAGTCGGAAGTCAGAGAGCGAGAGAAAGGCCCTCATTAGCTAATTTTCCCCTTCGAACAACACATGAAACAAGCCATCATACCCGTCATTATGTCTTCCTCACTGATTGTAATTAAGATGGCTTCTATGGATTTCA